GAATAAGAAAATGTTTTTATGAACCACACAGCTTCTGGTCTTCCAAGACCCGACCGGACAAAAAGACGTGGTGCAGGCACGAAATATACCAAATACTACCAATAGAAATACATTGCTTTTAAAATCATTCTGTGTGACACGAATCAATAGATTAAATAAATGTTGTGACTATAACACGAAATGCCGTGAGACTGGGTTGGAAGAACAGGACAGCACAGATTCACACAGATTCATAAAATCAAAAATAAAGTCAAGATAAAAAAAAATAAAAAAAAATATATATATGAAATAAGAAATGAATAAAAATAAAAGTGAGCATATATACATATTGGCAATACAAGCATGGGGAACACAGTGAGCATACACATTAGGTGTGCTCCTTTTCACCTTTGTATTGCTTATTTTTTGATTTTACGCATGAAAACACTTTAGTGGAAAAGCAGACAATTCTCAAAAGTCTTAAAATAGCGCAACAATTCTAATGAAAAATACACGTGGATGAAGCTATTTTAATTACCTCGTAATTTTGCAAACCTCTTTGTCTTCAAAAGTGTTATAGTGGCCTAACTGGAAAAATAACGCTACCTACTGCATACCTTAAAGAAACACCTCCTAATACTAGTTATTAATAACAAGAAATTATTTGTTTTTTCTTTTGCCGTTTTTTCAAAGTTCCAAGTTTTTATTTGATGTAATAACCATTAAGGATTTTTTTTAAGCTGAAAAGTATACTTAATAACTTTATCTGCAGTTTTGTCACAATGTTCCTTTTTTATTGCTGAACATTGCCATTCAGTTAAATATTACATTACATGTTGCTTGTTAGACACTTTTATCCAAAGCGACTTACATACTCAATACTGTGGGCAATCCCCACAGGAACAATTTGGGGTGAAGTGTCTTGCACAGGGACAAAACGACATGCAGTGGGGTTCGAACCTGTGCCCCCCTGATACAAACACAAACCCACTAATCCACTGCGCCACACGCCTCCAATATGATCATCTTGCATATGAGCTAATCTCTGAGCTAGTGTTAAGTAGCAAAGAAACCTCCCAAAAGATGGTTCACATTTTCCAGAGCTAGATTTTGCAAAGAAACGTTCAAAATTAACAATGCAACACGTTTGTATGTAATTCATAGTTTTTAAATTACGCCAATGGCATCACTTTTACATCATAGAATCCCAGTTGAAATCCTTTTTGATGCAACCACTGGGGTGTGTCAAAGTCCAACATGTTGAACTTATACATAGGAGCTTATGATAAAGAATCTCAAGCATTGTGTGTGGAGTGAATTATTTCAATGAATAAATCATGACCCTCATCAAGGAAAGAGCCTGAGACGACAGCTTCCCTCTGCTGCGTGATGAGCTGATCAACTGAAAGTAATGCATCTGACAAAAAAACAGAGATCTGATTGGAGCGAAGCGAGTGACATGATTGAGGCAGATCAGAGCTGGCAGACGGACACTCACCCACATCTCTTCTTGGAGAGTTGAGCAGAGCCGCTTGACAGACTATGCTCTGTCCTCTCTCTAGAGACAAACGCCTGGCCATCATTCATACAGCCAGCATATTTATTGGTTAGATTGCATGCATGTCAGGAGAGATAGACAGGGCGCTCCATCTTATTGAGAGATCACAGCACAGGCTGACAGAAAGGAGATGGAGAGGGAGAGATTGGCAGGCAGTCAGACATGAAGAGAGACTCATGCTGTGTTCATGTTCTCAGTCAGCAGTGATTTGGTAGTCTGCAGGTCATAAGAGGTCTAGACATCTGGGTTGAAACAGGTCTGAGTCCGGGTGAAAGAGTTGTTAGACATCTGTAGTGGCCAAAATCCCCAAAAGTTTGTCTTGTAACTCGATACCTCAAAAGTTATTGTTCTTGGCCACATGTAGAGCTTGGGCCTGGGAAGCCGTGTCAGACTCGCAGTACAAAATCCAGTGGACCTTTCGGTTGCTTTTCAACGTTTATTTCCAGCCAACAGGAAAACAATATGTAACGTGAACTTAAACAGCAGATCCGTCTTCTACTAAACATAAGGTTGCGTCTGCGTGTCAATGACGGTATTGCTGCTGCCTGCTGCTCTCCCGTCACACACCGCACCTCCAACTTAAAGCTTTAGCCCCGCCCCCTTCACCTGAGCAAAGCGCACCTCTCACTGAAACAGAAAAATGCATTAATAAAGGTTCCAAATAAATCAAAAATAAACTTAAATGCGGCTCCTACACATCTGTGTTGTCTAGAAACTATCTGTGGTTTCAGAAGCAGTTCCCTTTTTTTAAAGAAGCATTCAGTACAACACATTTTTGGAGATAAGTAGTAAGTAAGTAAATAAGCAGTAGTGGAATAAAACTAATAACAATCATTCACGTACTGTACTACATTTGTTAGACACCTTTTTTAATTCCTTTGCTTCTCCGGGAAAAAGAGCCAATTGTGTAATGCTGAATACCTGCATCATCGCAAATCTACAAGTATTGCATCGCTGTACAGTCGATTAAACTACCCAACGGTATATAAAGGGGTTAAAATAAGCACAGCCCTAAACATATGAAGGAATTTGAACAGTAACTAATGAACCAGTTAAGTTTCCGCTTCAATCGGAGAGATTGTACATCAATGCTGTGGTTTAAATTGACTGATGTCATTACGTGTGTGTTTTCCAGGCGGTGTTCGACTGTGTCGTGAACTCTCTGAAGAACGTTCTTAACATCCTCATCGTCTACATGCTCTTCATGTTCATCTTCGCTGTCATCGCCGTGCAGCTCTTTAAGGGGAAATTCTTCTACTGCACAGACGAGTCCAAGGGTCTGGAGAAAGACTGCAGGTACTGTTCTCTACATTCTGACATGGTGTTTTACATTTGCTATCACGAGATTCTATACGGACATTATCTATATGTGTTTTGATCCCCTCCCCCCTGATTCCTGTCTCTCAGGGGTCAGTTTCTGGACTTCAACCGTGATGGTGTGGAAGCTAAGCCCAGAGAGTGGAAGAAGTACGAGTTTCACTACGATAACGTTCTCTGGGCCTTCCTGACGCTCTTCACCGTGTCTACGGGAGAGGGTTGGCCAATGTAAGTAAAGACAACCTGCTTATCACCTCATTTGTGTTGCCCTACACATCAATCATAAGCTACATCTGAAACTGATCAAACAAATAACTTTTGCGTAGTAATTTGTTTAAAAAGAAAAGATGGGCACAAACATCACTGAGGTTTTGTTACATATCAAAACTTAAGTAGTTCAAGTATTCTTGAGTTCTTCATGTTATCATTTCCTTCAGCAGCTTGCTGTGAAATGCACTCAGCACACCTGCAGGTGGATGGTACAGAAACTGATTTCTCACAGGTCTGATTACTGTGCGTTCTCTGAAGATGCAATCAACGCTCATGCATAGATATGTTCAGACTGCCACTCTGTGTCTGACATAAGAGATGAACATCAACATCATGCTCTCTGTCAAGGACCGTTGATGGCTGTTTGTTTATTTAATTTATTGTACCTACCTGATGATCAAAAGTAAGTTGTTAAAATGACAACGCTTGTCATGATCATCTAAAATCACTCACTCTTAATCAAGCAGTGACAGCACAATAAGAGTCCTCTAAAGTGTGCAACTGACAATGAATATACCAAGGCCTAGGTCTAATGTCCGCCTTAATGCTGCATTCATGTCATGTGGGATGGATGTTAAAGATTGGAAATGATGGTTTATGTTTTATATTTATTATTCATGTTACATAGTTCCAATAATACATTTGGAGTTAAAGGTCCCATGTCATGCTTTTCCGGTTATTACCCGTCCCCTTGTGTGTTATGTAGCTTTGTATGCATGTAAACCGTCTGCAGAGTCACAAACCCTCAATGTACACCCTGTAGCGAGTTAAACTCTAACACAGAAAAGACCTGACTATGCTGCCCCAGAATGCCTCGTTGGAGATTTCTCTTTTTCTTCCCGGGTATAGTGACGTCACCATACCCAAATGGACCAATCCGTGGAGTTCCTCACACACACACACACACACACACACACACACACACACACACACACACACACACACACACACACACACACACACACACACACACACACACACACTCTCGCAACGGCAAAACTGTGGCACGCTTACACTGTAGGTGCGCCGTGTTTGGGGGTGCGGGTGCTAGTGGAGCCTCGCAGGTTGGGGTGCTGCAGCCCCCTCAGCATCCCCTCCTTCCCGCGTCCATTCGCGATGTCTCGTGTCTCGCAGACCCCACGCAGCAAGCAGAAAATGAACCCTGCTCACACTGTCCGCTCCTTGCAACAGTGAGCCGCACAACGTCCCGCCAACACGGCACCCAGACCCCACGCAGCATTCTCATCTGTTTGTCATTACTGGTGTCATTTTCTGGTTGCTAACGCCATTGAAACACATAATCACTAATGTTCCGCTGTAACGGTGGTGGACTCATCAGGACAGAGTGGGCGAGCTGACCAATCAGAGCACAGTGGGCTCACAGGGAGGGGGGGGCAGGAGCTCCAACAAACCGTTTTAGGACAGAGAATGAATACACATACTATACAGAGAAACCAATGTGATTTTGGAAAATTGAACAATGTAAATCTATTTCATTCAACAATGGAATTATGATCAGTAGAAATGGCCATGTCATGGGACCTTTAAAGTAAGGCCACATGGGCAGTCGTGCACACATTGTCAAACATGTCACAACTTTCCAAGCTTACAGAAATGTCCCCTTCCCAGGGCGTTGATGTGAACTCTGTAAACATGACCTCATCGCCAACCATAATGTTTTGGTACTTGATGAAGAGTGATCTTCACCATCTTTATTCGTAGGGAAATTCTTCAAAGTTGCACAGTGCTTCACACACAGCCACATATTATGAGCCGACTAATGAAAAGTGTGCAGACAGTGCTCAACAAAGTATGTCACAGAACCAACGAACACTTGGCATCACAGCAGGAGAGTCAGAGCCCTCAATAACATCTGAGAGACAGAGACATCTGTAATAATCTGTGGGCCCTCACCTCCAAATGTTGATGGCTCCTGACCTACAGGCAGGCTGATTAGACCTTTTTGGTTTCCTGGATATTTCTAGACACATTTATTTCACTCACTGTTGTTTTATCAAGCTTCTTTCAGGAGTTGTCTCATTGAGTTACAGAGAAAAGTGGGGTAAAGGTTGATGAGGCAAGCTGGTTAGCTGTTTCTCTTCAGAGATTTGGAATCGCATTTAATTGCACATTGTGTAAAATGTATTTAGCGCTTGGTCTGATGCCCACAAAGTAAGATTTGGAGAGCCTGTATCACTCTTACATAGATTTTTAAAAGATGATGTAGTTAATTGGTATAACATTTGTATTATAAATGAATTGTTGAAAAATTAGATGGCCATCACATGTTAGAAATTGCGTTTTGAGTTTTTTCTTCTCTGCAGCTCATCAGTTTTTTCTCTCCAGGGTCCTGAAGCACTCTGTGGACGCCACCTACGAGGACAAGGGCCCCAGCCCCGGCTTCCGCATGGAGACATCCATCTTCTATGTGGTCTACTTTGTGGTGTTCCCCTTCTTCTTCGTCAACATATTTGTGGCTTTGATCATCATCACTTTCCAGGAGCAGGGAGACAAGGCCATGTCGGAGTGCAGCCTGGAGAAGAACGAGGTGGGAGAACAGTGGAAACTAAATTATGCACTTTGTGGTTTTTTCTCCTGAAAAAACCCTCTCCCAAGAACACACACTGATTATTTCTAAAGAAGCGCTGGTGCTTGAAAATGTTTCTTTGATAGAAATCCAAGCACATGCTGAACATGACTTCCAGCCATTATGTCCAACATGATTCCCCTCAAACAAAGCAAATCAGTGAAACAAAGCAGTGGGGTTTATCTTCTCCACTCTCTTCATCTCCACTTCACACACACTTTGTACAATCATGCTGCTCTTTGTCTGTAAAGTAATGGCTTGTGATCAGAAAGCCTCAAATTGTAGTCTCATTGTTTGATATCACAACATTCTTGGAAAAACCTCCCCGTTGCGTGCCAGCTGTCTTATATGTTTTTATGATTTCCCAGCACTTCCATCTTCTAAGATGCACATTGGGAAGTTCTTGTTTGGAGTGGACTCATACATACTCTGTTTTTGTCTCCTCAAACAGAGGGCTTGTATCGACTTTGCCATCAACGCCAAGCCGCTAACCAGATACATGCCGGCGAACAAGCAGTCCTTCCAGTACAAGATGTGGAAGTTTGTGGTGTCGCCCCCGTTCGAGTACGCCATCATGTCTTTGATCGCCTTGAACACAGTCGTGCTGATGATGAAGGTCAGTCATTCCTCTCAGATCCAACTCAGAGAAAAAGTTGGCTCAGACAACTTCGGCTCCACATATGATACAGCACACTGTTTAAATATTAAAGAGGAGGATTGCAGAAGCAGTTTCCATAAATCTGTACTATTTAATTATTTAGCTCTTATGGCAGGGATGCAATTACGACAACAACGCTGCCCTGGCCTTGAGACACGGTCAACACTGAAAAATCAAGCGGCACCCTCACACCGCTGTGAAACTCCTGCAGAGCAGAGCGTGCTGCTATCAGGGAGAAATGCTCGTGACTTGGCAATTACTTGGAGGACCTCTGTTCGCCGGGGGTGGGGGGGTTGAGGTCCATTTACACATCTAACAATTTGTCAGATTTTCAACTCTTTGTCTGATTGTGAACATGATTTTAGAGATGTGTTGGGTTCATACACTGAAAAACAAGTTATTTGAATTAAATGATTTGGCTGATTTTCCTCTATCTAAAAAAAATGTACTTGTTGTTGGGGAATAATTCTCCTTTACTCCTAGATCTAACCTTTTTGCCCTTTGACGTTTATGACCAACCCTGACATCTGTTATCTCCCTTAAAGTGGACCTATCATGCTATATTTGAATAATATAGTGGAGGACCCTATATAAGGCATATTTATAATTTTTATTTTTCAAAATACCAAACACATCATGCATTTTAGCCATTCCTCATTTCGCTCAATTTAACACTGTCTTTGCATGGGCTGATTCTGTGAGAACAGCACCATCTACAGGCCTGGCATATGGACTACAGCGTCTCCAGCGCTTTCGAACGGCAATGTCCGTGGCTGTCTCCTCCTGATTGGTGGAGTTGGCCCAATAGCCGTAGCGCCACTTCTGTGACATCACAGAAGTGTTCAAATCTGGATCAGTCTGTATCAGATCCGTTGCAGCCCCTTTTTTAAGAGATTTGGGTACCGAGGAAAATAGAGAGGGTTGTGTTTTTCCTGACACTTGGTGAGTTCCCTGGAACACCGGGGACACATATTCATGTATCAAAGACGTACAAAAGTGCATTTTGCATGATAGGTCACCTTTAAGGAATGTGCTGCTCCAACTATATGTTGATATTNTCAGTATTCTGACACAGAACGATTTTAGAAGCAATGTATTTCTATTGGGAGTATGTTTCGTGCCTGCACCAAATAATAACAAATTAAAAGGAATTCTTTTTTTTTTAAATACAGATTTCAGTATTCCCATTTCTAGCCCCATTTATTTTCCTCGCGGACGGCAAAAAAACTCCAAAAGAATTCCTTTTAATTTGTTATTATTTGGTGCAGGCACGAAACATACTCCCAATAGAAATACATTGCTTCTAAAATCGTTCTGTGTCAGAATACTGAAATCTGTATTTTTTTTAAATCTCTTTTTCCTTCAAATTCATTATTATTTACATTGCTTTTAAAATCGTTCGGTGTGAAAATCGTGTTGATGAACACGAATCAATACATACATATTGTGACTATAACACGAAATGCCATGAGACTGTGTTGGTTCTTCACCCTTACCCTGTTGCTGTTTGAACTACTGAATTCCCCACGGGGATTAATAAAGGTACATCTTATCTTATCTTAACAGAGCTTCTGCTTATTAGCGTGACCATCTGTTGGTGTTTGTTGTCAGTGATCATCGTTAGCAAACATAGCTTGTTGCTAAAGAGATATACAGCTAACTATGCTACAGAGAATCAGAGCTACAGTATAATAACAAAAATGATAGTTAGGAACGTTTTGTATGGATAATTTAACACTTGTTTTCTCTGACTCTGCTTTAATTGCACTTTACGACATACATGAATACATGAAGCTGCTGTGAATCCATGCTAACTAGATTAGCTGTTCTTAACAAAGAAGCAGCTATAATCTGTTCACTTTCAAAACCTACAGGATTGATTTGTTGATGAAAACTGTTTTCAATTATTTTACCTACATTTTCTATCCCTGCCTTTTGAGGAGTGTATTTCCTGGGAAGTGCAGGCTATCAATACGTCCTCATACACAGAACTACTGCAGAAATAGAAAGCCATTTCCAGTCACATATATCCAATTTGTGTGACTTTAACTTCCCCCATCTCTCCACAACACAGAACACTCCGAAGGTCAAACAGCTCCAACCTTTCATTAGAGAGCTACGCTACAAGATTTATATATCATTTAAAGCACGACTGTTTTAAATCAGATATAGCAACTTCTCCTCAGTATACTATAAAATCATTTGACTCATAATGCTGACACCGGATGTGGCCCCAGCTGCTTTCTCTCTCCTCATAATGCACTGGGTGGGTGACGGATTGGATTACTGTACCTTCAGCTTGGGGAGACGTTTAATGGTCTTGAGTGGCCGCAGGACTCGGAGGACCCTCAGGGACTTGATGGTGTTTATGTCCTTGCCTTTCGTCCCTCTGTGCAGATTGAGAGAACAGTTATTGTGTGTGTGTGTGTGTGTGTGTGTGTGTGTGTGTGTGTGTGTGTGTGTGTGTGTGTGTGTGTGTGTGATGGTGTCATCTAGAAGCCTGTGAACGCTTTCATCCTACCCATCCTCCAGTAGCATGAGCAGATTCAAGTACATCAGGTTTACTGTGAACTCTGATGAATGCAATGATATATTCTGTTAGTAGAGTGCATGCATGTGAGGTAATGTTGTTCTACAGAAGCATGCAACAATCGAGGAATTGGTTTTGGAGTAACCAAATTGCATTTCCTAAAGTGCTGTAATGAAGTAAACCTTTCAGATTTGCTCCTTCATTAAATGTGTTACCTGCTTTTCCTTCGCTTCTCATTTTCTTTCCCTTCTTCTTTTTATCTATTCTTTCATTCCTTTTTCTCACAGTAGCCTTTCTTTCTTACAGTCTTTCTCTCTTTTCATCTGTCTTGTATTTACCCGTTTAGTCTGTTTGGTTTTTCTTTAATTTCTTTGGGTGTAATTTCTCTCTTGAATTCCTTCTTTCCTTTTGTTAGCATGTTTACCCTAATAAACTCCACTCTTTCTCAACAGTTTGAACTCTACTGCAAAAACCTCTGATGTATTTTCCACTATGGTATTACTTATTTTTGTAAGATAACATCATAGTTAACAAGCTTTTCCACAACTGTCATGGTGAGCATACAACATGCTGTTTCTGTGGAATAACATACAAACATTTTCCACTGTTCAGAGTAAATGCACAAAGAATCAGCCCCAGCTTCTTTGCAGGAACCGGTGATGTCAGTCATTGAAGACGCTGCAGGTTTCTTAACTGGTCACTGAGTGGGAGGTCAGGTGTGGGGCTTTGAAAACTAGCTGTTATGCTAATGACATACAGCTGAGCCATCATTCACTCAGACACTGACATTGGCCAAGGACGGCGGGAGAGGGATTTCTAATTAATCAGTCACATGTGCACACAAAGTGGCTGTCACTCTCCGTGTTGTTTCTTATGACTTCAAACATGTCTAAAAAGTACAAACTGAGAGTGTTTATCTGTGTATGTGTATATAAATAATGCAATGTGCAAGGATGTGGCAAAGGACACAAGAATGTGAGAAAGAATAAGTCTAAAAGCCCTGTTAGTGGCCCCTTGAGGCTCTGCTGTTTCTTACACCAACCAATTATTTCATCCCCAGGGGACATCAACAACGCCTAAAGAAATGTTGTTTATTCCAACTAATAACTGTAAAAGAGCAGTTTTTTCAGGAGTATAACATCAGCTATCGGTGATCCCAGTATACTGTCATCAATATAAGCTGGAGCTCTGTAGTGTGCAGGTGTAGCAACAGGTGTAGCAACACTACAGAAAACGGGGAATGAGGCAGAGCAAATAAACTGTTTATAATGTAATCTTGACACAATTCCACAAATAGACCTCTGAGAATAAAGTCTGTAATTGAACATTGGGTCATCAAATTGATCTTTTTAAATAAGACTTGTGCAGTTTATCTTAAGAAATACCCAGGAAATAGAAACGTCAACTCAATTTAACTATCTTTAGTCATTTCCTGGTTATCCTTGAACCCTAAAATAAATCCTTCTGAGTAATGGAACATTATTACCAAATTAGAAAGTCCTTTCTAGGAAAATAATGCACAAATAAGCGTTTTCAAGGAACATAATGTGGATAGGAGGGTACATGTGAGATTATAGAAATGACCATAAATCTTAATGGACAGCATGTTGATTTTAAACATCTTCCTTCTCAGTCTTTTCTTCCCTTTGCCTTTTTGCATAAGATTTGACACATACTCACATCAGTCTGTCAAAATAATGATATAAATCTGTAATACTAATTTGAACATATCTGATGATTAGAATAATTAAATAAGTATATTTCCTATGTGTGTAAAAGTATACAATACGGTGAGGAAGAGTAGCATGGTTCCATACATTGAATGCCTTTTCCGTTCTCAATGGAAAACTCTCAGTCTTATAAAATGGCATGCAGCTCTCATGCTTGGATGACTTGGTTACCCTGGCATGCAATCTGCAAACTCAATGCCAGTCCTCGCTATTCAAGGAGCTCAACACATTGAGACGGCAAGAACAGTCTCCCAATAGCTTTCAGAAGCGCCGTGGGCAAGGAGCATGTAATGTGTGTGTTTGTGTGTGTGTGGATACAAAGTTGTGTGTTCACATTAACTCAACACTGATGGCTTGAAGTCCAACATAATTAAGTCCATCATTTCTGCAGCCTTAATACTAACTGAATGTATTATGGAAACATATAATCATACTTCTGTTGTTTTATTGCATATTCTTGGAAAATATATAATAAAATCTATATGAATCAATCTTATTTTCTTTAGGCTTTCAGGGTACTAATTATCTCATTGTTATTATTATAAAGGGTCTGTGGTCTCTATTTGCCCTTTGTGAAATTTTGTTGCATTGGCGATTATTTAAAAAAAAAAAATTGAGAAGCCATTTATTTTAATATATAACATTATAACACCATTTCATATATTGAAATAAGTTACACTTGTGTTTTTATGTATTGAACTTAACTCTATGTAATTCTACCTTTTTGGCTGTCTTACAGACCGCTGCTTTCATATTTGAAAACATATAATTATAATTTTCGCTGAAACCGTATTCCTCAAAGGAGAACACAGCAGTTATTTCTGAGCAGATATGAATGTTGGAGCAGACAGAAAAAAGAGATTTAATTTAACTTTAATGTGCTCAGCAGCTGTGAGGTCATCCTCCGTCATCATGACTCTGTCGTATCAGCTGCTCGCTATTGGTCGAGGAGCATTTCCTGTTTAGGGATGTGACATCCACTCAGAAGCATTTCAGTGCCTCAGCTAAACAGCAAGCATGAGGCTCCTTCTATCGAGCTATATTACAAATAAAGCACAAACACTGTATTTCAACTGTTTTTGCATACTCTCATTTGTATTTTTTCTGTATTTTCTTCTTTACTTTTTAATCACTGAGAGCATTTTCTGAGCTGAACAAGAGTTGTGATCAGAATTTCTTCTTGTGGTCATAAAAAAATATGTAATTATTGTAAGAGAATTCAAGCACTAAGGATGTGTGTGTGGACACACTAAGAAAAAAACAAGTTGTACAAAATGTGCTCACTTACAATGATTTCTTACGGGGGGAAATAAACGTATCGGTTATTTATTTATTTAAATACACAAGCTACTACCCGGCGGCCACTCAAGGTGAATCCAGCTGAGAAGCTATAATCCTCCATCGATTTCTCTCTGAATGCAAGGAGAGATGTAGGTGAAGGGCAGGGAGGTGAATTAAGCTGCAGGCTATAATCTCTTAGTGTTATGACCAATCAAACCCACTTTAGTGAAGATTAGAGGAGATTAACAAGAAGAAGAAACATCAGATAAGGACGTTTCAGCTTTTATACAGCTGATACCTGATGAGAGGAAAGATACTCAGTTTAGATTGACACAGGTGCAAGTCAGCGGTTATATGTTGGTCTTCTGAAAGCTATGAGATGGAGTTTCCAATATTGTCTTTTTGTCTGGATGTCCCAATATTGGGACAGGAGGTTCTTTCTAAAGGGAAGACAGGAAGGAGGGAGGGAAATCATGGTCATATCCCGAGCACTTTGGGATGGAGGGGGACAGAGTTAATTTGGAATGTTTGGTAAGAGGAGTGTCGATGTTTCATGTGGGGAAAGAGGGAAGGGGGGGTTTAATAAGTAAAAAGTAGATAGGGACAGTTCCCACCTGGCCACGCTTTGTTGAGATCTGATGAGAAAAAGCAATGACACAAACACAGTACAAAAACACAAACACCACCCACATAAATATAGCACAAAAGCATGTCAAGAAAGACAGCGCAAAATAAACATTTTAAGCAGATATCACACAGGTGTGAAGAAACAGGGACGTTATCCGGCCTTTCAAACTTACATCGAAAAGAAACCAAAGATAAGAGACAAATAGACGCACTTAAACTAATTACCCTGTGAAAGGGCAAAGCAATAGACAAGTGATGAATATTACAATGAGTATGTGAAGTACACAGGTGAATAAATCACATGAGAGCAAGAGGATGATCATGATGCCATGGACAGTTTTTTACTGGGAGAGAAGCCAAGATGAGAGGGCACTGTTGATGAATACAGTCCACTGACATGTCTGCTACAATGACTACATTAACACTGCATCTGGAAACATCTAAACTTATAGTATCTACTTTTTAAAGACATTTTTAAGCACTTTTCACATATTGCCCCATACTGTATACGAGGGCTGAAGTCCTGACGTCACTTACTGTAAAGCAGGGGTTCCCAAACTTTTCAGCCCGCGACCCCCAAAATAACAGTGCCAGAGACTGGCGACCCCCTATCGACGGGGGGGGGTGAATTAATTTCAGAAAAAGAAAAAAAAAAGTTTGAGAAACACTGCGCTAGTGGATTGTCAAAGACAAAAATGTCTATGCAAACGTTATTATTAATAATTTTTTTTTAAAATTATTAAAAAAAATTAATCAATTTTTTATTTTTCCATTTTTATTTTGTAATCATCTCGCGACCCCCACTTTAGGAACCCCTGATTTAAAGGATAGCTAATGTTTTACTAGCTTCTATTACTCAATGCCAATTAACTGAATGTTTATTTTAATTTTGAGAACACGACTTTCCACATTTCTTATATTTTGAATCTTATCTTACGAGCATAACATGAGGATAAATGTCCGTACTCTGCTTCTCATTATTAGGTCTTCCTCTTTCCTTGGTTTCTCTCTAACCCATTTGATTGCTCGTGTTTCTTTCCTCGTCAAATCGATAGCAGCTAGCCTGAGTATATTTTGTATAACCAATACAAGAATTCATCGTAATAAGATCCTAGTTCCAGGGAAGTAGAATTATCCTTGCAGTGTGAATGTAGCCTGGCTCACGCTTACATGCCATGAAAGTGAGTTGATAAGTGAGATGACAGATGGAGCAAAGTGAAGGTGTAGTGGTTGAATGTGATAACCTGTAAATCCAACATGTCTATGGACAACAGCACAGCATACTGGACGAAGCTAAATGAACGGGACAATGTCAAAGCACTCTTACAATAAGTGATTTGTGATTATAAATGAACAGTGCATTACAAGTTAGAAACACAATGAAAGAATGATGACAGCTACATCATTCTGCATCTGAAAAATACTTGAATTCTATGTCTGGTAATTGTTCAATTAGCACTAAATGTATGTGTTAAATTGTGGAGAGTAGCCAGAGGTACTTTGTGTTCATGAACATCTGGAACACATTTTACTCTTATGAAAGATTAAACCTGTTTCCTCTGACAGTGTTTCTTATTCACTGTGCACTGTGTACTAAAACTCATGAAATATATCTATGAAATATATCCGGTAAATGGACAGCAGGTTTTTGCACTTATGTAACCCAGATGCAGATGTAACACAAACATAGTTGCATAACACAAACAGAACAAATGCCAGAGTCTTTGCTCGTGACTCTGGCGGTGAAGATAAGAATAGCAAATAACATAATATGACATTTGTTCAAAACATTTCGCTGCTAGAGGGAGGCTGCTTCATCTAAACTCTGCAAATGACATTGGCTATGATGGACAAGAAGGAAAACAGACGACACAAATAGAAAAGAAAAAAAACGTGCACATAGACAGAAACGCAGGCAGAGAAAGCAGGCAGCATTACCCCATGAGGCTCCTGAAAGCAATCCAAGCCAGACAACAAAGAAAGGAAGGAAGGAAAGTAAAGAGAGGAGACAGAGACAGAGTCAGAAACAGATAAAAAAACACAGAGACAAGCATTTATCTACAGCTGGCGAAAGAGAAGGAACCCAGCAGCAGAGAGCAGTACAAAGAAAAATACACAGGTGACTAACTGTGGACACATTTCCAGGAAAGAATCAATACTGCATGAGAAATAGTGAGAACATAAACAGAATATGTAATCACCTTCCAACTCCAGAGACCCAGAATGCAGGTCTGTGGGCGGCACGGGGCTCATTACTGTAACTCGCTGTATAATGTGGCTATGGGTAACGTTTATTTCCCATCATGCAAAATGGCACTTTATACCCCAGCACATTCGAGCCATTGTAGGTAAAAAATAAATTACAGAGCGAGGAAATGTGGGAAGCATTCCGAGTAAAAATGTCATAAGTTGTACGTTTATGAGAAAGAAACCTCAATGTTCTCTGAATAATGTGGTGTATTTACAAAAAAATACTCCTAAATGTATAGAAATATCCTAAAAAGGTATGTATATGCATATATTTTGTGATCATTGTTAGTAAGGGTTTTATATTAAACAGTCATGCAATCTCTAAAAGTAACATTTGTATTTAGTTTTCGAGAAAAATAGAATAGAAAATAAGGAAACATTTATATATATTTGAGTTTCTTAGCTACACAACCATTTCTTATTTTACTATTCGCTTCTCACTGATAATATGTACTTACCAGCGCTCAACCAAAAGGGGTAATGGCCTTTTCATTTATGTCCATCTAATGCAAACATGTTTGTATGTGAGTGTTATTAGGATAAGTGTGAGACGAGACAAAAATGTGCAGGTGAGTTAGGTTCAGCAACATTGCTTGAAATTGATGATGACAATTGTTTATAACAGGAGAAAAAAATAGTTTTAGATACAATCATACAAATATAACTTTTGCAGCGTATTGAACCTGGCAATTAGGTGCCAGCTTCGAGACTTATTTCGCCTCCTGAAAGATAAAGCTGTCATCTAAACCAGTGGTTCCCAACCTGGGGGGAGCGCCAAAGATCGCAGGGGGGGCGCCAGGCCTCAGATGATTTGAGGCCAAATATCATATTTAAACTTTTTTTTTTTTTTTCTTTTTACATATAATTGTAAAGCAATACATGATTGTCACTTAAAGCCTTGTCTATACATTACAATAACATATACAAAATAATTGATTAATTAATTTGAATAAAAATTCAAGTATTAAAGGCATAAAAAGACAGCAATGTATAATTCTTTCTTTAATAGAAATGTTTCTTCTGCCCGTAAATTGTCCAGACCGGGCTTTTCTGGATAAGAGCATTTTTAAAAGTCATTGTCCATGCCGGTTTCAGTTGGATTATTTGTCACAGTTCCTCCGATCAGATCGGTCTCCTCCATTTATTTACGACTTTTGAATCCACATAAACACATCGGCAAAATCCGACTTACTTTGAGCATGTGTTTTAAACAGTTTAATCCCTTTGTGAATTGTTTCCATTTCTGCGCCATCCTTTAATTTCTTCATACAGCGGGAATCCAAATGAATTAATCCTCAGTCCAATAACCATCAAAGTCACTCCAATATAAGGTGACCATATTTTCAAAATGAAAACCGGGGACATTTTGAGTTTTGCGGTCAAAATCTCATTAACATATCAATTTTCTTCGCTGTTAAAGAAAAAAGGGGGACAATTCTGGTTCAATGTAATTCGAACATTTGAACTGTTGGATACAAACAGAAGGACAATAGCTCATATGAGACTTCAAAGGTCTTTTATTTTGAAACTACATCAGATTGTCCAGATTCTCTCTGAGTGANTGTGTGTGTGTGTGTGTGTGTGTGTGTGTGTGGACCAGTTATGCACAACATGTTCCTTTACCCTGTCAGAGGTCTCAAGCTCTGTCACATCTGCACTCCCCAGCTCTAACACAGATTGCCTGAACACCCACACACACGCAAACATACACCATCACCTTGCATTCCTTCTGCACTCCTGACTTGAATAAGAATTAGTTGTGCTTGTCTGTCAGAATGCAAAAGCTCAAGTCTGTGTGCATGTATTATCCCCTTACTCTCAACATGGGTTCATATGTCAGGCAGGGATGTAAAGAGTATTTAAAAATTATGTCAAACTGGATGTGCACCAATTCAGGGACAACAATTGACCAAAAACGATCTAAAAAAGCTTATTTTTTGTGTTTCCTACTCTAAATATGGGCAAACCTGTCAAACCCTGACTCTGTCTGACTGAATCAGCCAGTCAGCTGAATGAAGTGTGTGAATCCGCAGGGATGCAAGCACATTTAATGCAAATACTAGTCTCTGTGACGATGCGTCTGTCAGCCAGTGTTTATGATGTGTCCTTCCAGATGTGTATTTATGAATTCCAGATGTCAGCTTGACTCACGTTGTTGCGCGGTGCATTCGCTTGCACTGGATCTTCGGCTGCCAGAGCAATGCTGCTCATTGTGATGACCAACAGGATGCACATTTCAAAGTAGCGTAGGTTGACCACGTAGTGACACAGCCGCCGCACCCTGCAAGACAAGACAACACACACACACACACACACACACACACACACACACACAGACACACACACACACACACACACACACACACACACACACACACACACACACACACACACACACACACACACACACACACACACACACACACACGTTAGAGTACACACAGAGAAGTGACAGCTCCATAGGTAATGTCCTTCTATAAAAGGTCAAGAAGCACACGCATATTCTTCCATGTCAAAACAATGTTTAGGTGGAAAGGAATCTGGCATTTAATTTGTCTAATCCCCATCATGAGTCCAGGATGATATGTGGGTCTGGAACGTGAATGGAGTGGTAAATCAAGAGATTCATCTTCTGCCTCAGCTCCTCAGATCCTGAGACACTAATTCACTTGGGGCACAAACACTTCATTTTTAAGGAGAGTGCCATGGCCTCAGACTTCAGGAGCTGGCGCCCTTCCCAACTGATTTACTCACAGCTACAAACCACCCCAGTGTGTGCTGAAGGTCATGGTCTAAAGCCAGAACTACATCAGCCCAAAGGAGAAACACAGCAAACACTGCTCTAAGGATGACAGTTCCTTCTGAAACTGAGGAACTTGCCCCATCTTTCAGAATCTGGGAAAAGTTCTTACAGAGGTTATTGAACTTGTGGACTACCAGATGTTCTGGCTACGTAGGACCTAGATTCGCACCTACAGACTTGAAAATATGGTACGATGCAAACACCTGTAAAACCAACATAAAACTCCTGTTGTGTGCAGCAGTTCTACAGTATGACAGTATAACTATGAAGTCGATGGTTGATCTTTTGAACTTCGTTATTCTTGTACCTTAATAACGTGAATTTCGTAATGGTCAATCCTCAAAATTGCAGCTTTACAATTCAGTGTCAGTATGTTACAGAAAAAGGAAGAAAGTATGGACAACATTTGTTAATTGATTCAAGGTTTTAATTTACTACAAACCAAGTTAGCATTAAGCATAAGCTGTCCTTCCATTAGCTGTTAAGGGCGATTATTCAAGAGTTGCAAAATAAAATATTCACACAAGTAATACAAGGCAAACATTTGCTTTGCATTTGGTCTGAACAAAAGAGACTAGAGAAGGCCATATTGTTTTTTTAGGGAAACACACAGTTGGTGAGCTGCTGTCTCAGGAGTGTCACAACACACATCTCAGAAAATAGAAGAGTCAAGCCAGGACTTTCCAGAGCCGCGCTGCGTTTAGAGTTAAGCTCAATTTGATCTCTCTGGTGATGCTCAATCTGCTGCACCGGCTGTGTTCCCCCACTACCAGAGAGAAAAGATTCCACATCCTGATAACAACTTTTATTAGATAGGGGGGTCAGTCCACCAAGTTCCCACGCCTCCTGCTGGCCAATGGCAACGCTCCAGACTCCTACTCATAAACAAGTGCTATGTTCAAGTCCAGATATGAAAGTAATGAAAGTGAGTCTGATATGTTCCTCATTGAAAAGAGGTTGAATGTGTTGAAAGTGTGTATGTTTAATATGTTTCTATACATTTTAAAAGGACTGTTTTAACAAAGTGAGCGCGGGGATTACATAATTTTGGTTATCATCTTTGGATTCGCTAGGTGCTGTTAACTCATTTGACCCACTCTACATGGTAAAATCCTAATAATTTGTGTAACCTTTTATCCTTAATTTAACCCAAGCTATCAATCTTATTCCACATAACTGCTCTCAGTCACTTGTAGCTACACTTACGGGTTAGTTTGCCCAAAGACGAACATGGAGCTGTAGGGAAGGATCTGCCGAGGCCCATTAGCCGCCTCCTCATCCTCCAGGTCTTTCTTCTCATCGCTGAATAAGAAGCTGTCGCAGTCGATATTGTTCACTAGTGTGGAAAGATAAACACAATCATCAGCTCAAAGCAGCACAAACATTAGAAAAATTAAAATATGGATACAAATTCCAGGCTTTTGGTCTGTGTAGTTTTATTGAAATATAATTCACTTACGAGGCATGACAAATCTGAAAATCTTGGTTTATCATAAAAGCTGCTTACGAAAATGATCTTACTCTACTCATAAAGCTGCTATTACAAAGTCCCCATAAAAATATATAGCATTTTTATACAATTAGAAACTGGAGTTACTATACAATAATGGCATTCTCATCTGCGTCATTGATAGAGTTCATTAGCAAATAGGCACTAGGCTAAGATGGTAAACATGGTAACCATTATGATTATTTAGCATTAGCATGTAAACATTGTCCTTATGATCATGTTACTGTGCCGATATAAGCGTTGAACTCAAAGCATTGCAGTGCCAAAGTACAGTAGCATGGTTTTCAAATGTTAGTCTAAGTAATCAGAGTATTACATTGCAAAATAAATATTCCCCTTTCAGGATTCATAAAGTATGCCGTCCTCCATAGTGTTAAAAATTGGGCTATGACTCCTCTAGTATTTGACTTTTACTTTTTCTTCTGCTGAGATCTGAAGCCGTGGCGATATTCTTAATTAGCCTTAATTACCCCTAATGACACTGCTGTAAATTGATGACTGGTGGAAACATTATAATAAGATGTTTTAACCTCATAACAGATGCAAGTAACGTCCAAAATGATTAGTTTTTATTATTATTATTATTATTTTCTCTGCTTAATGAGTTCTTTTTACAATGGGTGAACACAACGATCGACTTTTTCATCTATAGCCACACGATCTTCTACGAATAACACTTCATTTACAAGTATTTATCTAATTCTAGTTAGAAATGAAGCAAACACCGAGTGGTCTGTGGATTATTTTCATCAACCTTTGCAACCTCTCTTCCCCTGATGGCGGTGTGTACTCACTGGGTATGATGGTGGTCTCTCCGGGCGGGGCAGTGATGGTGACGGGGATGACGATGGTGTTGCTGTTGAGGCCGGCCTGGCTGGCCCTGGTGGAGTTCTTCTGGTTGTCGGCATCCTCCTGCTTCTCTCCAAGACTCAGGTTACTGCGCATGGGCTGCAGAGGACTGGAGGCCAGGCCGTCGTCCTCAGCATCCGGCTGCCTGTCCCTGGGGAGAGAGATGTGTGTCCATGTATCACAGGCTTCATTACACTCTGCTCACAGGGTTCTCAAAGCTTCGTGCCAAATTAGACCCGTTCGATAACGTTTCTCTGTCCTCCTGGGATAGGATCTATGCTGCTAGACTAGAAATTCTACCAAACACACTATCATATGGTAGTGGAATTGTATTTATTACATAGTGTCTTAGAATATATGTTTCCTGTCTAAAAGATCCACTAGAATTATTTAAGCCGAGCCAGACACAAAACAGAGAGCTGAAGCGAGTGTTTGGAGGATATTATGACATGCAGCTGTTATGCCTATACACCATGAACAAATATTCAAAACAGACTAAGAAGATATAAAATGAAGCAAGACTCTGCAACTGTACGTCTGGTTTCTAACTTTAAATGTATTCAGAAATTAAACTTGGTGGAAAGTTAAGAGAAATGTGATGCTTCCGGATCAGCCAACAGATGCAAAGGGATGCAAGCAATGCTTTTCAGTTTGTATTCTGGCTGTGTAATGCTGTACTTTGTATGGTAATAAAACACTCTAAAATAATAAATTCTCCATTTACTAACACAGTGCATTAGTGCTTCTGCTTTTGCAAGCAAAGTATTAGAGCAGCAAAAAAATGTAGTGTGTACAATTTGAAGAGTATAAAACAAGAACCAAGTTATAATACTAAAACATTGCTGTTGTTCGGATAAGAGCTCTACAGGGCTGCAGGGAGGACGTATTTTTGAAAAGAAACCCTTGGCTTTTAAATCATCAAAGAAAATAAGCTTATGTTTATAAGTTTATGATACTTGGTCTTTTTGTTAAGCCAGATCATCTTCAGAAACAAAAGACATTACATTACATTTAGCTGACGCTTTTATCCAAAGCGACTTACATTAAGTGCATTCGACCAGGAAGATACAAACTTGAAGGAAACAGAATCATATAAGTACATCAGGTTTCATAGAGCTAAAACATTTCAAGTGCTACTCAACTGGCTTTAAATAAGCCAGTCCTTTATTAGTATACAAGTGCTTTGTTAATAGTTCTGTCGCTCGAAGTGGAGTCGAAAGAGATGAGTTTTTAGTCTGCGCCGGAAGATGTGTAAGCTTTCTGCTGTCCTGATGTCAATGGGAGCTCATACTATGAAGGTAGATATGGTGCAAAATGCGAGAGCGTGTAAAACCTGATGTGAGTACTTGCAGAAAAAAAATCTGAGCTTGTGTGCATACATTTACACTTTTATAACATATCCACATAACTTTGAACCAAGTTTGAAGTCACAGAAGAAAATAAAAAGATTTGTAGCTTGTAAAATGAACTTAGTGATGAAATATTCACTTGCAGAAAAATACATATTTTTTAAATATATTTTCCATTACAACTGCAACTTGGTTATTACAACCTCTCAAATCAGTCATTACAACTTGACGAATCTGCTCTGTGGCAATATAAATCGACGAATCTGCGGTCTTGACTTTTGCTACANATACCGAGCCTTCCCTATCCGGATCCTTAGGGTAATGAGAAGAGTCGAGAGAGTGACAACATCTGGCGAAAGAGGAAATTCCGAACCATGACCTCGGTGGAGTCTACCCAGTATCAACATCCGGACAGGTCTTGTGTAGCAGGTCTTTAGAGTGGCAGGAGAGTTGTGGAGTGTGAACGCCCGACTCAAATTGGTGCACGGGACTATAGAGACATTGGTGTCAAGAGTCCACGAGTTACACCAGGGAGTTTCGACCTCGATACCTGGTCTAACAGCAGGTATATGCCACCTTGTAAAGAGAGAGTTCGGTTACGTTTGTTAGAAGGTACAAGGAGACCTAAGGCGCCCGCGGCGTGAGCTGCTTGCCTAAGCCTGGTGACCATGTCTGGGGTCCCCCAATACTTTCGACAGTCCCCGACCGAGAAGGAACAGGTCCCTTGGGGACCACTATCCGAAGGGGACCAGGTCATGTCTCTTGGTCCTCGACGGTCACCCCCTCAAGGTCGTACGAGAACCTAAGACGTCCTACAACCAACCGCTAGTCCCTGACATATAGACAAGTCAGGACATCCAGCCATCTTTTGTCAGAATTTCAGGGTAGGAAGAAGGCATGCGTGTGCGTGGCCACCTCGGCATGCCTCTCGCCTTCCTCATTAGGTCGGAGTAGGCAAGTTATTTTAGGACCTATATGAGAAAGTGGAAGACAAACAATCACCGAAACCTAACGGTACATACAAAAAGAATGACCCCCATCACTGCACGGTCGCACCTACACCTCAAAAGTCACTCCCCTAACTCGCTACAGCAGTAGCAGCAGATACGGACTTGCGCACTGTGAGGAGAGAGTCGTCCGACAAAACACTAGGAGAAACGAGGAGCAAATTCACTGATCCAAGCTGGACTCCCAGGGTGGTCCGCCCAAATACAAAAAAACTCAACAAAGTGTGACCCCGGACTACGCCCACAATCAACCAACTAAAAATAGGAGAGAGGAGGCCATAGACGACTGAGTTGTGACCGGGCGTATCCGCCCATAAAACTGGACAAAACGTCCACTGGTTGTGTCACGTGACTAGTCTCAATGTGACGATAACACAAACACAACCGCTACCCCCTGACCTAGTATTGGACTGGAAAAAAAAGACCCCTCTGGAGGAGATAGTGGTGGGCGCAGACCGGTTACCAGCCGAGATAGTGAACCACCTGATCTTCGTCCAGAACCGGTACTGTGACTCGGTGTACACAAGGGTCACCAACTGTAATTGTATGTGACACCACTAGACAAGGTCGGCGGGTCTCAACGTAACGAAGAAAAACAGAACTACACCATGTAAGGATGTAGAAGGGGAGTGATTATCCCCGGTACCTAATTCGGACTTCGTGACGAACACGACAGAACTGTGACAAATAGAACTTTTCCGAGACTGAGTGTCATACCTACCAGAGAAGAAACAAGCAGACCTGTGATTGGAAGAGGACAAATAAAGGAGTGATAGTGCAACAATCACGGTTAATACCCGAGGCGACTGATGCACACCCAGTGAACTGTGATTTTTATCCATGATCTTCACCGAAACCAGGACCGCCTAAGAAAGGGAATCGAGGATTGAGATGGGAGGTGGGTCGGGTACTTTCCCTTAGAGTTCAGAGACCAACCGCCGGTGAGGGTGTTTTACAGACTCGGGATTGTTAAGTGACTCTCCCAGCGTGGCACGACACACCATTCACGTCGAAAGGAGGTAAGAAGTAATTACTACCCAGCGGGACGACGGCGGCGGACTCAGGGTTTATTACGATGACTGATGACCTTGGAATAGGTCACACGTCACCTGTTACACCACAGAGAAGCGGTTAGTTGAGAACTACTCAAAAGGAAACGCAGCACACCACCCCTCCATTCCAAACTGACTACACTAGAACTCGACAGGCCGAAACTGAGCGTACCAGACCTGTCCAAACGACGTACCAACTCTGACCTACTAAGTGCCCGTGGCTCCTCAGGGCCGTAGCCGTCGGCCAGAGGCAAAAGGGACGACTGAAGAGACCTGACATAGGTTGTTAGGAGACCTCTGACTACGGTTAGCGAGAATGGGGTGTGGACTTCGATATATGACGTGATCAGTCGTGAAACGCTTGAAGTTTTGATTAAACTGGATGAATATGAGTGGTCTGAGGTTTTGTAAGACGCGTTTCAAGTAAAATACTCGTACGCTCTTCCGTCCTTTTGACAATCGATTGGTCGAAATCCTGCCGCCAGCCTTTTGTTGATTTAGTGTCATAATTATGTGTTTTCACCTTACAGTGTGATCTGGGATGTCTCTATTTATGACGGTAAGTTCCTGAAGAAAGAGTTGGACATGAGGAGGGGCTAAACTACACCTGCTAGGCTTCTAGTTCTCAAATTAATGAGAGTATAAATTTTTCCCTTTCTGGAGATGTTTACACGGAGAATGTCCGGAATAGAGGAACCCCGACTTGTGGTCTACGATTTTAGAAATCGGGTTCCAAGACGAGAGCGTCTAACCTCCACAGTAGGGTGCAGTTATTAATTAGTAGGCTAGTCTGACCCAAATAATTTTTTGGCGATGAGGAAGAAATTAACGTCCCGCACAGAAATTATATGATATAAGTGGTTGACCCTTTGCAACGGGTCTTACAAACACCGACAACCTACGCCTTTTCCGCAAAGCTATCTCTATAAATAAATGTCAAATCTCCTTCAAACCGAAACCCAGTAACAAATATAGAACCACTAGAGAATAATACGAAGAGGGTGGTGGCGTCAGGTTTGTTTGCCATGTGAAAGCCGTTGAAACGGGACCGGACTTTGGTTTGAAAGTCTGCTTGGACAGGTAAAACCGC